AAGCCTGGCTCCCCGTGGTGGGGAGGGGGCTCGCCCCTGCTGACAAATCACTGTGACACAAGGGCGGGGATCTGCAGGCAGGGAGGAGACCCGGGGGGTGCCGCATCCTGAGCAGATCCCCCTCCCCGTGGGGCTGGCGACCATGCCAGACGCTTCCCATCCCTCAGCTGCTTCTAAGAGGGTCTGCTTTTAAAAGCAGGGGCAAGCTGCACCCTGCATCAGCTTGCCAGAGGTCTGGGGGAGGTGGAGGTGAGCAGGGGGGCTCCTCCCTCTTGGCTTGGGGGCAGGGATGGTGAGAGGTGGCCTGGAGCTGGGCACAGCGAGGGGTAGAGGAGAGGGGGAAGCAAGGTCTTTACGCTGGGGTTCTGCTGTGTTTTAGTTCCCTTTCTGGTCTCTTTTCAGGGTTTTGTATGGGTTGTTTTTTTTTCTTTGCAGATCTCCTTTGGTTCTTGAACAGACTTGTATATATTTTCAGTGCAAAAATTCTGTAAATGGAAGAAAACAAAACAGATTTAAAACGAAACGCCCGGCGCGAAGAATCTGCTGTATTTATGGGAAATAAAAGAGTTCTTTCCTGATTCTGTCCCTCTGCCTTTAGACCCAAGAAATCCATTTTCCCCTCACCCACAAGAAGCTGATTGCAGCCTGCGAGGGATCGTTTCTAGCCCAAAGTGCCACAGCAATCCTATAACTCATCCCCCTTGCCAGGATGACTTCCCCGCTCCCGTGAGCAGGGAGAGGGGGTGGTGGAAGTCCCCCAGTTGCTCTCAATTCCTGTTTGAGAGCAGAGTCACTTCCAGCTGGGTGCTGCCTGCTTCCCTCCCTCCCCAGGGAGAGGTGACGGGCAGGGATCTGTGTCCCACAGCCCATGGGGAGCAGGGTTTGAGCTCACCCCGTGTCCCACAGGGCTCTTTGCAGCTTCACCACCTGCAGCAGCAATTCCTCTTCCCCCAGGGCTGCCTCAGAAATGGTTCCAGTTCTGAGCCTGGCAAGCAGCAGGGTGGGGCTGGGAGCAAGTCTCTAGATCAAGGCTTGGATACAGCCAATGAGGGGCTGCAGGTGGGGTTTGGCACCTTTGCAATAGCTTTTGGAAACCCTTCACTGGTTTCAGCCACTGCAGTGCCTGCTAGGAGCACCCCCAGGACTCGTGGCTGGAGGATCAGACGTGCTTGGCCACAGGTTTAGAACAGCCTGATGGTTTGGGCAGGGAGGTTGGTGCTCCCTCACCCAGCCCCTGCTTGAAAACCAGCACCCCTTGGCTACGTGCTTACTGCAAACTTGCCCCTTCCCCCAAGGAGCAGAGCCCTGAAGCCTCCCAAATATATCTATTTTTTATTGCTCCCCAGGCTTTGGGGCACAGGTGAAAGGGCCCTTCCGCCTCCTTTTCCTTTCTTGCTGGTCTTATCTGCCCACAAGCTGACTGCTTCCTCTCTGGGCTGGGGTGCTAGTTCCTTAGCCAGCCACGTAACCCATCCCACAGCAACCTCCACTCTTTCTTAAGGCAGGAGGAAAGTCCCAGCTGCAGGTAGCCAGAGACAAGGCAAACTTTTAAATCTTGTGCAGCCAGGAGCGAAGGTGTTGGTGGCATCCGGTGGTGGTTTTAGACATAAAAAACAAACAAAAAAAAAACTTCAAAAGCTGAGCCCTGGTGCAGCACCCCAGCCTGGGAACTGGGAGTTTGTGGTCTCTGTGCAACTGTGCCCTGTGCTTGCCCCTGGAGCTCTGCCAGTCGTGGGGAGCAGGGAGGAAGGGGCCCTCCCCAGGGCACCCCACAGCACCCTGGAGAGCCCCACGGGTATGAGGGGGGCGAGGAGAGATGAGGGGTGCAGGGGTGGCTTTGCTGCTCGTCCTGCTTTTGTCATGACAAGGGGGATGTGTCGCAGGGGGAAGAGGATGGAGCTGCACCCAAGAGCACAGAGAGATACCCGAGGGGGTGTTGGGGCAGTTTGGGTGACCAAGGAGGGCAGGGTGGTACATGAGGCACCCCAGACATGCCCTGCAGCCAGCTGGCACGGCCCCGGGCTGCCCCACAGCACAGCTGGCCGTGGGCAAGGCAAGGAGAGGGGCGAAAAAACCCTCCCTGGCTGAGACAGAGAGCAAGGAAAAGAGCGTGGGCCCTTTGCTCAGGCAGCAGCGTGTGCTTGTCCTGCCTTGTTACGTGTTTGCTGTAATAATATTTCCCCTTTAAGGCTGGGCTGAAGTTATTTATACTTGTGGGGTGGTGACAGGAACAGAGAGCGGAGCAGGAGCCCTGAACTGCTCTTACCTGATCTGCAACGGAGGGGTGGACTGGGGAGGAAGGAAGCTCAGAAAAAGAGAGGGAGAGAGAGAAGGGAGTCCAAGGGAGGGGAAGAGAAAGCAGGCAGGGCATCCCCGGGGAGGGGACGAGGGAGGGGACCAGCTGGGGGAACAGAAAAAGGGGGAACAGGGGAGGGAGGAAGGAGAGGAGTAAAGAGGGAGAGAGGAGTGAAGAGGGAGAGGTCCTTAAGGGAAAGCCAGGGGCAGAGTGTCTCTGGGGAGCCAAGGGGCCACCAGCATCCAATGCCAAGCATCCCCGAGGGGTGCTGAGCGGGCACAGCCGAGCAGAGCAGCTCTCGTGGTCTCCTCCCCTGCTCTCAAGATGATGAAGAGGCAGTTCCATCGGATGAGGCAGCAGCTGTCCCACCCCAGCCTCACCAGCCGGTAAGGACCTCCCCGTCCCTGCGCCGGGGAACGCCACGAGGGTCCTGGGGGGCTTGTGTTGGACTCACCTCCCCGAGCTGCAGTCAGGGAAGAGGGGGAATGGCTCTGGATTTAGAGCATCTGCAGCGTGAGCCAAGGAGCTGTGGTTCCCTGGCTCCCCCCAGCCCCTGGGGGGTGGTGGGAAGGCTGTGCTGGTGCTGCTCAGCAGGGATGGGATCCCCGAGGCCAGCTGACCTCTGCAGGGTGCTCAGATGCTGCATCCTCCTGCTTTTGTCACCTATTTCCACCTGGAATCAGGCCTTTCCTGAGCTTGGCTTACTCAGGATGTCAGGGCAACGGGAAGGGACTGCCCAGCTACGTGTCCCTGGCCTGGAGGTGACCAGGAGGGTGGTAGGAGCTGGGACCTGCCCTCCCCACTGAGCCCGGGGTGCCCCACAGGAGCCAGATGCCCTGCATAGCCCCAGCTAGACCAGCAGCACAGGTATCCCTGGATGTCCTTCCAGGAGAGTTCTGAGGACCTCAGAGCACCCGTGGAGGAGTTACAGCTTCACGCTAATCCCCCTGGCCCCATCCTACCTCCGCCCCTTCCTTATTTTTCTCTTTGGCTTTCCAAAGCTCTCCCCTTGCAAAACTCCGAGCTGAAATCACAGGGCTGGGCCCTCCCTTCCCAGCTCCCTCACTCCCTCTTTCCTCCAGCCACCTCCGCAGGTTCCCCAGCGCTGGGAGGCTGAGCAGGACCAACGGTGTCCCCTGGACCACTGAGGTCCTTCATCCAGCCCAGCAGACCACAGGGAAGCAGCACCTACATCCTGGTGGCCTCTTGCTCTTCTTGCATTGCCCAAAGGGGAGCACGACCCCCTTTTCCCACCCCTCTGCCTTCAAGAGGTCTCATCTCCACGTTAGATTCTCCTCCCTTCTGTTCAATGCCAGGCAGGCAGGAGGTCTCAAGCAGCTCAGGCAGCCCAAGAGCAAGTTCTTCACCCATTGCAGAGCCTCTCCTCCACGGGCCACAACCTCACGTGATCCTGCTTG